TTCACTACAGACTTGAACTCCTGGGTTCAGGCGATCCTTCCATCTCAGCCAGCCTCCCCAGTAGCTAGGACCACAGGCGCACCACCACACCTGGCTAATTTTTGTATTTTTTGTAGAGACAAGGTTTTGTAATGCTGCCCAGGTGGGTTTGAAACTTCTGGTCTCAAGAGATCCACCTGCCTCAGCCTTCGAAAATGCCAGACAGGTGTGAGCAACCATGCCAGGGTGGGAGTTGCTTTTAAATGCAGATTCCCAGGTGCCATTTGTCTGATCCTGGTTTGTGAGATCTAGAGCGGCCATTGAGACCCTGAGAGTCATGGCTCTGAGGTGCAGTGAGCAAAAGTGAGCCTCATTAGACTTCGAGCAAGAGTGAGCCTCTTTAGCCCTAGACCTCAAGCAAGAGTGAGTCTCATTAGACCTTGAGCAAGAGTGAGCCTCATTAGACCTAGACCTCGAGCAAGAGTGAGCCTCTTTAGAGCTAGACCTTGAGCAAGAGTGAGCCTCTTTAGACCTAGACCTCGAGCAAGAGTGAGCCTCTTTATACCTAGACCTCGAACAAGAGTGAGCCTCATTAGACCTTGAGCAAGAGTGAGCCTCGTTAGACCTAGACCTTGAGCAAGAGTGAGCCTCTTTAGACCTAGACCTCGAGCAAGAGTGAGCCTCTTTAGACCTAGACCTCGGGCAAGAGTGAGCCTCTTTAGACCTAGACCTCGGGCAAGAGTGAACTTCATTAGACTTTGAGCAAGAGTGAACTTCATTAGACCTCGAGCAAGAGTGAGCCTCATTAGACCTCGAGCAAGAGTGAGCCTCTTTAGACCTTGATAAGAGTGAGCCTCATTAGACCTTGAGCAAGAGTGAGCCTCTTTAGACCTTGAGTAAGAGTGAGCCTCTTTAGACCTTGATAAGAGTGAGCCTCTTTAGACCTTGAGCAAGAGTGAGCCTCTTTAGACCTTGATAAGAGTGAGCCTCTTTAGACCTTGATAAGAGTGAGCCTCATTAGACCTTGAGCAACAGTGAGCCTCTTTAGACCTTGAGTAAGAGTGAGCCTCTTTAGATCTTGAGTAAGAGTGAGCCTCATTAGACCTCGAGCAAGAGTGAGCCTCTTTAGACCTAGACCTCAAGCAAGAGTGAACTTCATTAGACTTTGAGCAAGAGTGAACTTCATTAGACCTTGAGCAAGAGTGAGCCTCATTAGACCTCGAGCAAGAGTGAGCCTCATTAGACCTCGAGCAAGAGTGAGCCTCATTAGACCTCGAGCAAGAGTGAGCCTCATTAGACCTCGAGCAAGAGTGAGCCTCATTAGACCTCGAGCAAGAGTGAGCCTCATTAGACCTCGAGTAAGAGTGAGCCTCATTAGACCTCGAGCAAGAGTGAGCCTCTTTAGACCTTGAGCAAGAGTGAGCCTCTTTAGATCTTGAGCAAGAGTGAGCCTCTTTAGACCTAGACCTCGAGCAAGAGTGAGCCTCTTTAGACCTCGAGCAGGAGTGAGCCTCTTTAGACCTCGAGTGGTGATCTAGAGAAGTGAACTCACTGGATGAAGCCAGGGTGCAGCCTGAGAACAGGGCCAGGGAGTAAGACTGCATCCACATGGGAGTTAAGGTGTAGAACAGTCTCATCTCTGTTCAGAGACCATGAGAACCACAGTGTATACCTCACCTGTTGTTTTCTCGATTCTTCATTTGATTCCAAAGTAGGGGCTGAAATAAAGGGGAAGCCTGGGTCTCCTTCCCTCAGGAATGGAAAATAATAATAGTAATGATAATGGCCAGCATTTATCAGTGTTTATTATGTGGCAGACCCTGCGTTTAGTGCCCTACACAGATTATGCGGATTATGACATTTGATAATTTTGGTAAGTCTTCTTGGGGACTGCTCCATTTCTTTGTATCACTCACTGCCTGGATTATATATGTGGCCAGGTGGCACCATCTGCCTTAAGCTTGCAGCACAGGGAAGGATTTTCTGGAATCCCAATCACTTTTTATCATCCTTATAACAAGCTCCAAGGTCAGAAATACAGAATGGGATTCAGCAACCCCTTGACTGTCTGTCCTTTGCCAGCAAGAAATTTCTTCCTTGACCCCCACTCTAAGTTGAAAATTAAAACAGATGTGGCTAGAGTAGATTAACTGAAATTCTCTCTAATTCACCACACCTGCCAGCAGCACTGTGTCACCCGTGACCAGCAGGGCCCCAGAGCAAAACAAAAATGCAAAGTACCTTGTTCAAAAAGCAGGAAAGAAGCACTGTTCAAGGGACTAAAATATAAAAAGCTTTTTCCTTTCTTTTGCAGTCTCTCTTTTGGCCTTTTTATTTGCTATTTAATGTCATTTTTAAGTAGGGGGAAATCAAAATGTGTAATTATTAGTATATATTTTATCATTCATCTTAATTTTGTGTAATGCCAGGTTTAAATGCAACTGTAAGAGCATTTAACTCATATGTTGAGTCACTGAAGTGACACAACTTGTGTTTCATCGCTCTTATACGTATTTTGTTTTTACTGGAACATTGGAAACATTGTACAAAACTAACAAGTCTTCATTTGCTTCTTGATATGGGCGCATTCTGTCCCCATTCTCCACCTTCTGCTCACAGATGGGTGAGGAAGGTCTGAGAGGAAAAAGTAGACTAATTTAGGGGTCAGAAAGGGGTTGGTGGGGTTCCTTGGTTGTTCCTGTTTCTTAGAACATCATTGCCTTCTGTCTGCATCTGAAGCAAGTTCTGGTTCAAATGAAAGTATATCTTCTCAGGACTGTCAGCCCCCTGCTTACTTGGTTGAAGACACAACACGCTTCCCTCGTATTGGCTCCGAGTCTCACAGAGTAAATGTGAATATTGGCGGTGAAGAGCAGCAGACGCGAGCATTTCACAGGCTCCCTCTGCTCACACGTATGCCTCACTGTCCTGTCCAACTTCACTTACAATACACGATTTCGAGAGAAATTTATTGAGAATTTCAAGATGGCAACAGAAGAGCGTCAAACCAGATGCTGGGTCCTCCCAAGCATGGGGCCGTTAAGTTGCATGCCTGTGAAGCTGGCTCTGGTGATAGCATTGTATCCAACTCAGGGATGTTTTGAGGGGAGGAGTGAAATTGGGGCAAATCACTCTGCGTGCCTGCCCGCATCAACATTTCCTGGAGGTGAAGGTCAGGATGGGCATGGAGGGCAACTTCTGGGGTCTCTTTGAGAGAGGGGCAGACCCTGCCCTGTGCACCCTACCTGCTGTGGGTAGCAAGATCAGAGCTGGCGTTTGGTGGTGTGCACGTGAGGCTCCCAGCTGGAGGCACTTGGCAGCCTTAGATCTCTTCTCTAGAGAAGACAGATTCCCAGATAAATCCTAGATCTTTGACAATTCAGAACCGCAAAGGACCTTGCAGATGAAGCCAGGTACAGTGGACGCTGTATAGTATAGAAAACCCAACTCAAGCTGGCTAAAGTAATAAAGGGGATTTATTGGCTCCTATACATGACAAGTCCAGAAGTAGTTTAGCATCAAGGGTAGTATGATTCCATGGGTGACGAATGTCACTGAGAACCCAGTTTCTTTTCACCTCTCCTCTTGCCTCTTGGCATTGGTCTCATTCGCAGGCTGGCTTCCCCTCATGGTGGCAGGAAGGCTGCCAGCCACCCCTGGAGTGATTCAATTCCTCACCAGTGGCCAGGAAGGTAGAAACCTTGTTTCCGGAAGTTTTGTCAGCAGAGTGAGAATGCTTTTTCCTGACTCTCAGTAAATTTCCCAATATAAGTCATGAGCCCACCTACTAATAACATATCTGGTAAGTGGGGCTCTTCTGGTTAATTGAGGGTGAAACTTAATGCCCTTTTCCATGGCCAGGGTGGGGTCAGCTTCTGCTAGAGCACATAAATGGCACAGGAGAATGGAGAGGTAGGGAGGTGGTGGTACCTGAAAATAATTGAGGTGATGACCTAGAGAGGAAGGAGCAGATGCTGCAGAAGCTACCATGACATTCACTCAGAGATCCTCTGTCAGCTCTCAGCATGACAACGGGACTCAGCAGAAAACACAGATGTGTGATACTGTCAAGACTCTGACAGTGGGAACTGGGGGGCAGGCCTACTCAAGAAGCATTCAGATTCACACTTTCAAAAAAAAAATTACTGGCCAAGCAAAACTTATATCTGCAGTCCGTTGAACAGATGAGAAAACCAAGAAGCAAAGTGGTGAAGTAATTGCCTAATCATAAAAGTTGCCCCATACACTGAGGTCCTCATGCATATATCTGTCACCACCTTTTACAGAAGAGGAAAATGGTTTCAGGATGTCAACGAATTTACCCAAAGCCACATGGCCAGTGAGTGATAGGGCCAGGATTTGGACCCAAGCCTGTGTAGCCCCCATTCCTTTGTTCTTTCCCAATGTCTAAAAGTTGAATTGGTGGCATTAACAGAAAGAAAAACCCAAAGTCAATTCAAAGCTCTATTATACTGTGTGTCAGCAAGAAGTTTTAGGAGCCCACCTAATGTCATGGGCTATGGAATATATAACCAAATGAATGGAAAGGGAAAAAGATTTTGTGAAGCAAATACTTAAAGTGATAAAGTGAGTTGTCAGTGAATTTTGTCCAGGGAAGAGAAGAACCATCTGCCCTGGGTACAGGAGCCCAGGAAGCACAGGGTGAATCCTGCCCGGCTCAGTGGATGCCGGCAGCTTCTGGCGTCCTGGCACAGGCACAGTGGCAGTTTATAAACTCCTTTTCTATAAGCTGTCAGACTTGGAGAGGTCCTGCAGGAAATCTGGGCCTTGGCATCAGCAGAGTGATCACAAGAGATGTTCAGCTCTCTGAGAAATGCAAGTCTTGGCTTGCATCCACTGTGTGGGAGCCCCAGGCGAGCTGCGACCTTCTCCTCCTGTCTGCTGACTTGCCTCTGGAGAGAAAGTTAGGTTTCACAGGATGCTTAAGAAACTGCAGTAAAGAGGAAATGCAAGGGTCTGTGTGTTTCTAACCCAGTGCCTGCCCCTTCTTCTCCTTGCAGCCTGCTTCGTTTTTGTGCTCTGCGCTTTCCTGGCTCTACCTCTGTCCATGGCCTTCATAGGTAAGCTGCCCGCCGAGCTGCTGGACACCACAGGTCAGCCAGGTTGGGGCATGGACCCAAGGTGTGTAATCTCTAAACATTAAATATGTGTTTAAGAAGAACTGGCCAGCCCGATGATTCCTAGACACCTATGTGCCATCTCAGAATGACTTGGTGAAGATTTAAAAAACACACATTCCTGGGCCCCACGCTGGGAGATATCAGTGCAGTATATGTGGGTGGGAACAGACACCCTCTTTTAGAAATCTGTCCCCAGATGATTCTGATCCCTCTAGCCCAAGTTTGGGAGTGACTGGGCTAGAGGTTTCCCAAAGTCCTTTCCCAGTTCCTATGTTCCCTTGTGGAAGCAGGATGCGAGCAATACAAAAAATGCACCTGGCGCTAGGTGACGTATGGGTACTGTATACATTTTTTTGCTGAGTGAATGAATAAATATTTCCATAAATCATGTATATTAAACAACCTCATAATTCAGAAGTGTGATGTCTAGCAGAGGTCAGGTGAGGGGCAGGATGGGGGAAGCTCCTTGAGTAGCTAAGAATTGTTATCACGTGTCAGTGAAATTAATCTCGTGCTCCTGAACACTGCTAATGGGAGCCCCTGAGGCCTGCGTACAGGACCTAGCTACCCCTATTTACCTAGAAGCCCAGCATGGCCTGGCACAGTGGCTCACGCCTATAATCCCAGCACTTATGGGGCTGAGGCGGGCCGAATGCTTGAGCCCAGGCATTTGAGACTAGCCTGGGCAACATAGTGAGACCTTGTTTCTACCAAAAACATTCAAGTCTTGACTTAAAAATTAGCTGGGTGTGGTGGCGTGCGCCTGTAGCCCCAGCTACTCGGGAGATTGAGGTGGAATGATCGTGCCACTGTACCTCCAGCCAACTCCAACGAGAGTGAGACCCTGTCTCCAAAAAACACAAAAACCAAAAAACAAAACAGAAAAGAAGCTCAGCAGGCCCAGTGTTCTAGGTCCAAGCTCACAGCATATTGGAGCAGTTGTTGCAAAACAACAACGAAACACCCAGTACCCTAATTGCTTAATGGGTAGGAGCCTTCCTTCCGAGGTGATGAAAATGTTTTTGAACTAGATGGAGGTGGTAGTTGCACAACATTGTGAATCCACTAAATGCCACTGAATTATTCACTTTAAAATGGTTTATTTTGTTATGTAAGTTTCACCCTGCCACTCCTGCTGAAGCCACAATACTAAAAATGGAAACAAAAACAGTATCCTTAGATCTGTAAGACATGAAAGCTAACAGCCTGACAGGAAATAAAAAAGAAGATAAGATTTTAAGGTTTGCAGAGAACTAAAACAGCCAAGCAGTCTGGGGCCATTTAGTGTAAGAGTGAACAGTTCAGTCACTTCAGTAGGCCCTGGTGCTGTGATTATTACAGTGCAATTCAAAAATTAACATTTATCATGCGGCTCTGTTCTTCCAACAAGAGTTCACAGATGTTAGGCGTACCCAGCTCAGGAAGTCAGGAATACTCTCCAGAGGGCATTCTATGCAAAATCTGTAAGGGAAGAGAACCCTAGCCTTTGGACCCTCGGGTTAGTTATCTTTCTTTTTCTTTTCTTTTGAGACAGGGTCTCACTCTGTCACCCAGGCTGGCGTGCAGTGGAACGATCTCGGCTCACTGCAACCTCTGCCTACCCGGCTCAAGCGATTCTTGTGCCTCAGCCTCCCAAGTAGCTGGGATTACAGGCGCCCGCCATCACGCCTGGCTAATTTATGTATTTTTAGTAGAGACAGGGTTTCACCACATTGGCCAGGGTGGTCTTGAACTCCTGATCTCAAATGATCTGCCCACCTCGGCCTCCCAAAGCGCTGGGATTACAGGCATGAGCCACCGCACCCAGCCAGTTACCTTTCAAATGAACTTAACTGCAACAATTCATCCACCAACAAGGCTGCATAAAAGAGAGAAGACCTCACAAGCCAATTCCCACGGATATTATATTAAAATCACCACATCCACTGCAGAAAGAGGGTTTTGGAGGTCTTGTTGCTTCTAGAGCAATATTGGTTATAGAGTTTGTGTTTGGGGTGATGAAAACATTTTGGAAATAGATAGTGGGGATAGTTGCACAAGATGATGCATGTAATTATGCCGATGAATTATACACTTAAAAATGATTAAAATGGCAATTTTTGTTGAGATATTTTATCACAATAACAAATATTTTAAAAATCACTACATCTGGTAGTTGTTATCAACTGAACTAGGGAGAGACCTAAAGCCAAAAAGAATAATCGCGATACTGCAGATCAGACAAGAAAGAAAATCTAGAGTTTAGGTAGGTCCTAAGCAGTACGTGAGAACCAAGGGGGAAAGACGGCTTTTATTAAATTTATTAGGATCGTTTTAAGCCATCTGTGCACTGATTGACTCTCCTGTGAACAGCAGCTGTTTTTATTCACTGGGAATGAGCAGATATCTAAGCCATTACTCAGTGTTCATTTCACAGCTGGCTTTTGAATTGAAAGGCGGTCCATGTCCAACAAATTTGGCACCAAGTACTTAAAGGTCTTTGTGTGAAAAGGCTGTGTTGAGACTTGGAAAGTATTTCCATTTAATAACAAATTCGGCTACACATCAGAGATAACTAAAAGACAAGCCTCCATAGGTTGATGATTGGATCAATGTGTATATTTGACTAAATTCTGTTTGGGCTCTGAATTTATAGCTCTCTGTATACCTAGAGAATTTTGTTCATTTCAGTGGAATATGGTGTAGTCATAGAAAAACAGTTTACTCCCTCTGCTTAAGTATCAGGCATTTATAGGGAATAAAATGTCAAATCAAAGCTAAAAGTCTAAATGTCATTTAAACAGGAGGCTTTGGTTCTACAGTAAGAATTCCCTTTCTTGGAATCTGTTGACAAATGTATTAGCCAGGGTAACTTAACTGTGCTGCAGTCACAAATTAACCCTGGAATCCCAGTGGTTTAACACTATAAGGGTTTATTTCTTGCTTATGCAAATTCCATCATGGGTCAGTGGGCATGGGGACTTCCCAGGCAATGTGATGACATAATATTCCAAGCTGCTTCAATCTTGAGAACAATCCATCTCCACCCATGGCTTCCAGGTGCTCAAAGCAGAGGAAGCAAACAACGAATCATGTATCAGTTTTTAAATGCTTTGGCCTGGGCTGGGCACAATGGCTCATGCCTGTAATCCCACACTTTGGGAGGCCCAGGCAGGAGGATCACTTGAGCCCAGGAGTTTGAGAACAACCTGGGCAACATTGCGAGCCCCCTTCTCTACAAGGAAAAAAGAATTAGCTGTGCATAGTGGCACATCCCTGTGATCCTAGATACTCAGAGGCTGAGGTGGGAGAATCGCTTGAGCCTGGGAGGTTGAGGCTGCAGTGAGTTGCAACTGAATCATGCTACTGCACTCCAGCCTGGGCAACAGAGCAAGACTCTGTCTCAAAAAAAATAAACACATGCTTTGGCCCCAAAGTGTCCCACAGCCCACTGGTCAGAACTGGTCACACTGCCTTGCTACTCAACAAGGGAGATGGGCAATGTAGGGGGGGGGCACATGCTGGGCAGTCAGTGTCTCCCATAGCAAAGGTGTCTGTTAGAATTCATCTGGAGCTTGGTCATTTGAGCCAGACTGGTCCCTGAGGGAAATGGGCATTTCTTCTTTATATTTTAAATAGACACATTATATCATTGGTTAATAATAGGTCTAGAGAACAAAGACCTGAGAAAAGTAGACAGAGCATTGCTTTGGGGAGAAAAATTACCGTTAAGAAAGGGTAGGCATCTGGGCAGGCTGGCTTGGTAGTACTCTGTATCTGGTAGCTAAGGATATGTGAGCACACGCGTGTTTCCCAGCGTGGGGTCCAGTGAGTGACATGGTCAATGGTGATCATATGGTGACTGTGACTAACACAGCAGAGGGCTCGCTACACAAGGAGGAAGAGCGGCTCCTCCCTGCCACCTGGTCCCTGGAAACAGAGTAGATGAGAACCTCATTCACAGAGTCACATTTTGGAAATGTGACTCATAAATTAAATCTTATTTTAAGCATATCAAGAAAACTGTATATTTAAAGGGATCCTTTGAATTCTGAATCCTTGAAAACTTGAGTTCTCATACACTGGCTATTCAGAAAAGCAGAGTGCAACCCATAGCCAGTTAATACCCAGAAAAAAGGTGCACTGACACCTGGTCCCTGCCCTGTCCGCGGGAGTATTTATCGCCACTCCGCTGTGAGAGTGAGTTCTGCAGTGTCAATCCACTGAGCATCCTGGGGATCAGGTGACTGGTGAGGCTGAGCAGATCCCACAAGCATATGGTTTGCATGTTTAACATTTTGGCTTTTGAAGGTGTTCCACTCGTTTTCAGAACCAGGCTTTGTGCTCTTGAATGTATTTCTCTCAATCATCTTCTGTTTGCCCTATGTAGGAATGAAATTTTTGGAGGACTGCCCTATACAGCCCCTCATACCTTTATATTTGCTAGTGGGTGGCATCGTCGGCACCTTAAAGGTAAAGTATCTTTATCTGTTGTTTGTAGTCCTTGTAGAAACTTAACTCACAGCCATCCTGGAATGCACCTGTTATTTGCCTGCTATTCACAGGGGAGCCAAAACAACTTCCCCCTAAGCGTGGTTGCTGAAGTGATGGGGCTGGCTTCAGAGACACAGATTTTTCCAGATGCAGGGCATTTACCCAGGGCTGCGCTTCTTTGCAAGAGCTTCCTTCTTGCTGTCGAGTTCAGTGTGCTAAGCTGTGGCTTTGGTCTGACAAGAGTTGATGCAGAGGAGTCCCTGACTGCCAGTTATACCATTGAATTCAGCCAGTGAAATCATGGTCTTTCTCTGCACTGCTGCTTTAAAAAAGCTTCCTGTTCAGGCAGGGTTTGCATTTGGTTAAAATATGTTTGATTTAGCAGTTCCTATTTCTGCTTTTAACTATACCTCCTAGTTCTCAATTGACTAACATAGGATTAATTGGCTGCAGTTATCAATCAACTATTAAAGTATTCTTATGCCTGGGGTAGGAGTGCTTCTCTGTGACTCTCAAGGTTATGTAGTTAATCTGCTCCTGGGCTGTACTGACATTTGTTTAAACAGAAAAAGCAACTGAAGAAGAAATATCAGAGGCATGCATAGCGTGCAGTTGTTTTCAAGATCCCTGGCCCACAGCAATGTTACACCTACCAAGAGAAGTTTCGGTCAGCCTCCGTCTATCAACAACTCTTCCCAGCCTTCCAAGCCCACCTCACCACTTTCTATATCAAAGCCAGAAAACACAAGCATCCATTTCCCCAAGATGGTTCCATAAAAACAAAGCCGTAACACAAGAGAAAAGTGAGTTAAGAGTGCCAAGTGTGAACTTTTATTCGGAACCACTGTTGGGTTTCTTTGCCAGCTGCCTTCTGGTGCGGGGATCCTTGGAGCGATCCTGGCCAGTGGAGCTGGTCATGCTGTTGATCTAAGACATCAAAGGAATGTCTTGAAAATTGTTCTTATATGCAACTGGTAGCCACAAGCTCCACTCTGTCGTGGGAGACGTCTGATTTGGGGCAAACCTTTGGAGGCTTTTGTGTCTGAGGTAACCTCCCTGATAGATGCCCCCATCTCCTAATAGCAGTCTGGTGGGCAGTGTCCTAAAATGTACAAATACACATGATGGTCCCCATCACAGTATCCCCATGGGATCTACCTGGGACTCTGTTCAGCTCCAAGAAAACCCAAAGGCTCTTGGCTCAGCGGGGCCACATTTTCCCCATGGCCCCCACAGTGTTAAGGGAAGGCTCTGACGGTTTGAGTGCCACAGAGATGCTTAAAACAAGGGCAGCATTTTTAGCAGTAATTACCTCTGCCTCTCCTGTTCTCACTCGACTACCTCATCGTGAAGCTGCCCAGTGGAGCTTTCCTTTAGAGATGCTGCTGTCCGTGGGGTCTGTTCCTCTTAATAATAGCAAACTTTTCCTTTCTGAAAGCCAACCCAGGACCCAAAGGTAATTTATTTTAATGAACAAACTAAGGCCCTAATAAGCAGCATTGATTTTTTTGCCCTGGCAATCTAAAACCGTTTGAAGCCAAATTAAATTTTTGTGCTCATGATGGCAAGGTAATATACAGTGAGTCCATAACCATTAGAGCAGCGGCAAACACGATTAGAGTCCCCAGAGGCAGAAGTTTACCTGTAATAATGATGGTTCGTATTCAACCTCAAACCTGCTGAGGGGGCCCCAACATCCTTCCTGAAATGCATCAGATAGCTTCACAGTATTGCACTCTATGGAGAGAAACGAAGAGATGTGAGCTGACATTTCATGGAGCTACCAAAAAGAACTGAGGGTTATGAAGATCAGGAAATGAATTAAGTAGGCTGTGACCTGCTTTTTAAAAAATAAAATAGAAAATTAGAGTGCCTAGTAAGTTAAGTATTGTGTGATGCTTACATATGAACATGTGTATTTGGGTGAGTTGACCGTATAATTTATCATCCTAACTGGGACACGTTTGAGAGTACAAAGCGGCTCTAATAATCATCCTGCCAGAACAACAGCATAAACCAGGACTTCTCTAAGCCAACAAGGACATGCAGTTACCCGGTGCCTAGGACTTGGCATAAAATGTATTCGTTACTGAGGGTCGTGTTAAAAGACAGTTTCCAAAACATGGATTCAGTGACCATCGCCTACCCTGCACTCCCCTCATCTTCCCACATCACCCTTCCTAGTGGCGATTGCTACCCTGGTGAGCATGTGCTTTTTGCTGATGCCATGCTGATGACTCTGCCCTATTTGGAGCTCATTCAGTCCTCACCGTGCCCCTTTGAGGCAGGTACTTGCTTCAGGAAGGATTCTTTGACTACAAGGAACAAAAACTCAGCCCTGGCTAACTTAAAAGGTCATTGATTGGAAGAGCTCACAACCTCAAAGGTTAGTGGGAGAGAAGGGGGCCAGGTGGCTCCAGAAAGTCTGGGCAGTGGGACCCACTTGCCACGGCTCTCTCCTCAGGCTGGTTCCTTTCTCCTGGCATCATTGTAGCCGAGAACCAGTCCTGGGAGGGCAGCCAGATCTGTGGACACGTGGTGGGTGGGGGAATTCCTCCAAGGAGTGGGACCCTGCAAGGAAGGGAAATGCATCTGAGTGATGGAGACTTGAGCTGGATTCTCAGTTCCAGCTTACAGTGAGGCAACAGCAGAGCTGGTGTTCAACCTGGGCTTTCCCAACCACACAGCCACGGTCAGCCAACCTACTACCGTCAGTTGGTTTTTTCCCCCTACCCTAAACCCACCACCCTTCACCTTTGCCACACCACTCCCCCTCAGAGAGGACCCTCGCACCTCTCCTTGTGCATAGGGGTCCCAAGTATGCCCCTTCTTCCAGGCAGCCCTCCCTGGATGAGTCAGCTCTACTGTGGGTGTCTCTCTGAAGTCCCCTAAGGTCTCACTTTCCTTTTCTTATGGAGATGTTCTGCCTCCCAGCCAGGCTGCAAGTCTTAGGAGTGAACCCTCCAATTCAATTTCCTCTGATTTAATCATCGGTGTACTGTGGTGTAGACAGTGGTCAAAGAGGTGTGGATCACTGCCTTTCTCATTCTCTTACTCACTGTGGATCTCACTGAAGGGACTTAACTTCTCTGAGCCTTAGTTTCCTCATTTGGGCAACAGGGATAATATGCAGCCCCAGGCGAGGATGGACATTAAAGATCGCACATACCAAGCATTGAACTAACCACCCTCCTTAGGTTTTGTAGCTTTACATAAGTAATAACTCTCCATTGTGGAAAATCAGAGAATGCAGATAAGGACAAAGAAAAAAATCAAAATCATCTGTAAATTTCACCACCCAGAGAAAATCGCTATTGACATTTTGGCCCAATGGCTCCAGTTTTGGTCCTGCGCCCATGTTTATTTAGTACCTCTTGCCTCAGGCTGGGAGAATTCATTGAGATAATGTATGTCAAGCACTTTGCTCAGTACTGGGGTCTATTTTTGTACAACACCCATTCCCAGAGTCACTGTCACCTCCTCACAGGTAGCTCCCAGATCTCCCGCAGGAGTCCTCGCCTGTCTCTGTTCACCTCCAGGCTCTGACTCCGCCCCCTGCGGGCCACTAACACCTGCATTTCCATCCAGAATTTTAAATGGAACAAGTCCAAACCTGGAGTCATCACCCACCCAAAGGCATGGCTTGGGGTTCGCTATTCCCATCTCTCTGTCTCTTTATTTTATCCTTGCTTCTCTTCACAGTTTGGAGCCCACTTAGCTGCATCTCTTGGCTCCTGCTTGCCCTTCCATTTCACTCAAGCTCAGAATCTGTCCCCGCCTCTGCCAGTCAGCTACATCCTCCATCATCCGAGGATCCTTTCTAATGCCCTGCTCTCCAGGGTTAGGGGTGCCATGAGCGTGGCCTCGGGAGAGGTAGGCAGCTTAGGAAGCCGGAGAGAGCAGACACACAGGCCAGGCTTTCAAAAACATCACAGATCAAGTTGCTAGGCAGAGAAGACGGGGAGCTGCTAAGGGATTCCTTAGCAAAGACCACCTGTGTCCTTCCACCGCTGCATTTCCAGGGGAAGTGTGCTCCCCTGTGACAAAGGCATCTGTGGCCAGTTAGAGTTGGGTGGGTTGTGGTGCTTTGTGTAACCAAGTGGGAGCAGAATTTCAAAGGCGTGTCAGGCTGGAGTCAGGGATCATCTGCCAGGGGCCCAGATGGTCTTTGTCCCCCAAGAGTATCACTCCAAGGACAAGGGTCTGTGCTCTTGACTTGAAAGGTGTATGAGGACAAGAGAGACAACACTCTCAGTCCACAGCCCCACTTGGGAATTCCAGATGCCTGAGATGGGGAGTGGTGCAAACTTCCAAGAAGAGAGAAAGCAGGCTGGGCGGGGCTGGGGTGGGGAGGAAACGGCTCACAGTACCTGGATTTGGCCAAGCCTGTTACATGGCCTGGAAGTACCAGGGAAAAGTCTGCTGGGGGTTTCTGCCAAGAGAGAGGGATCTATTTCAAGGCCTCTAGCATGCGGACCAGGTGTCATTTTTACATTATGTGTGGGTGCAAATGTGCTAGCACAATACAGGGGAGAGTCAGTCTGAACCTTGATGCGGAGACAAGTCACCCCAACTAACCCCTTGTCCAAACCAACTCACACATCTAAAAGGAAGACGCCACTGAGGATGCTGGCGACGAATTAATGCCTTCATTCTTGCCAGTTTTAATTCTCATTCTTCAAATTAAATTTTGCTGCTTGGTGGCATTTCTAACTCAGTGTGTGCACTTTTCATGACACCTTCCTCTCTCTCCTCTTTCTCTCTCCCCAACACCCCTGCCACCGCTACCTTCTATCCCCTCTCTTCCCCTCTACTTTGCTGCTCTGCCCTGCCACCCGGCTCCCCACCATGCCCCAGGTGTCTCTCCTGTTGTACGACTCCACCAGGATGAGGCGGCTGCTGTCCAAGGCCGTGGTGATCGATGATGATGACGATGACGAATACCCCTGGAGGCAGAATGCGCACAGATACTACATCCACCTCCTGCTGAGCCTCTTCCTCTTCCTCTGGTTCATCCTGGGAAACTACTGGGTCTTTTCTGTGTACCTGCCTGATTTTCTTCCCCCTTTCCAGCAGCCTCAGGACTACTGTGACAAAACCCTGTACCTCTTTGCAGTTGGAGTCCTGGCACTCAGTCACACGGTGCTGGGCTTGCTCCTGCTGTGCAGCGGCTGTGTCTACCTGTGCTCCAGGTGGAGACTTGCTGCCGATGAAGACTGACAGCTGCCTTGTCCAGCATACCATGTATGCATGCGTGCGCGCGCACACACACACACACACACACACACACAGGTTCAGGAGAAGGGCATAAAGGTAATAAAATCTTCCCTGAAGGTATTTAAAAAGCCACCCAAATGCACTGAATATGATAGTGGACTAAAGAAACTCTTGCCTTCCTAGACATGGGGAAATCACTTCTGCTCTTTTCAGAGTAGGAATTTTGTTCTCACAAGAGTTTTCAAAGTTATCATTGTTTTTGAGGGGATGAAGTGTGAGAGGCAAAGAATGGGAGACCTTTTCAAATCATAGTGCAGTTTCAATGACTGGTACAAGAACAAGGCTGGTTGTTGTTACTGCTGCTGTCATTCAGTCATGGTCACCTTGAAGTTATAGAAAGTGCACAGACTTTCAAACAAGATATATCTTAACTTCACTCACTATGATGACTTTTGTTATTAAAAGGAAAAAGATACTCTTTTAGTGACTCTAGCTGCCTTTTGGGAAAGCGAAGGTGCAGTCTCTTCCAGCCATGTATCAGATGGGTTTGATGTGATGGGTGGAACATCCCAAGGTCAGCTGTAAAATCTGCCAATGTCAAAGCAGTCGCTTCCACCTAGGGGGCGGGCTGGCCTGCTAGCCAGGCATTGCGGAGTGCAGTGCCGTGTGCACCGTGTGCCGCTGCTGCAGGTTCTTTGCTTGGCCTTGAGTCTGTCTCTGCCCCTGGCTATTTGTGTACCTCTCTATGATCTGCGGCTGGCTGGGTGGCATAAACCAGTTTTGTATGTTTCTGGACAGGTTGCATGAGTTGGGTTGCCGTCAGTGTAGCTGTTTTTGGTTTCTGAGCTTAACTATCAAATAATAGCTCCTCAACCTAATGACCAGTTAGGCTTTGGAAGCCTTTTGTAAATTGAGATGTCTGGAAGTCCAGGATGACACCAAACAGTGACCACTAACCTTCCCTCTGGCTGTTGCTGTCGAGAGATGAAGTCCAGGTCTGTTGTCAGTGCTTGCTGGGGAGCCTCTTTATGAGCAAAGTCCCACGCTTTAGAATTTTGTATGAAGACACTGTCATGAATGTTTCTAGGGCAATGCCCAGGGGTGTGTGGCACCTGCTTAACTGTGCTTCTCTCAGCCACATGCGTAGCTTTTCTGTATATTTACACACTGCTGAACTGTGTTTATTTTTTAATTTTTTAATTTTTTCGTTCTTTCTCATCAAACCAATCCCTGAGTGGCCATGAATGGAGGTACCTCCCTTCATCAGAAGTGTCAGCTCAAACCAAGAGGCTCATTCTTCTCTGTGGCTTTAAGAGAAAGGCCCTGTGAATCCCATGGGGTCTTCCCATTTCAGTTTAGAAGCTCTCCCCGGGCAGTCACCATTGGTCCCCCTTTCCTCCCAGGTGAGAAGAAAGTGCTTGGTGTGCCATCTGCTGGACAAAGGAGGAACAGCCCTTTTTTTGCCCCTGTCTCTAAGGGCAGTTTCTGTTTTCATTTTCACTCGTGCCATGACAGAAGACCAGCGGGTGTGCAGTTTGCAGATCCCACCTCATCTATGATGCCAGATTCTATCCTCACTGTGTCCCATGTTTCCCTCTCTGTGTCTGGGGAGAGTCTGTGGGCTACGATACTGGGGTGGACAGGGGTTCCATGGGCTCCCCTCCCACCCTCCTTTCCCCAGTCTGTGACTCGTCAGACACTCCCAGTCACTTAGCCAATGCTTGGACATCTGTGAGCAGCAAAGATCTGGGCCCAGGAACGCCTGCATGACTCCCACATGAAAGCCTCTGAGGCTTCTGTTGCGAGGGCCTTGGCGAAGGCGGAAAGAGCTGTGGACAACCATAAGCATGAGGATTTCTGTTAGCAGATGGCAGGTACTGGTTAGTGCTTTGGATACATCATTAGCTAGGTCTCAAAAGTTGGACATTCCCAGTTTCTGGTAGGCATGAGTATCACCAGAGTGTTGCAGAAATCCTTCCCAGAGGGAGTAGTGGATGGAGTGAGCTCATTCTCATATGCACCCCCCCAGCCCACCCCCAGTTGCAATGGAGAATATTGGTCATAGGTCCTAAATAATTGCTAAAATCTGGACTATATTTTTGGCTTTCAGTTTCCTTGTCACCAAAGCAGTAAGGAAGAGGTGATGATCTCTTCCTATAAGTCACACATCTTCCCTGGTTTGAGGTTACAGTGAGCTATGATTGCGCCATTGCACTCTATTCTGGGTGACAAAATGAGACCCTATCTCTAAAAGACAAAATTACCCCCTTCTGGAGAAACAGGTTAGATCCGAAAGAAAATGTTCATGTGCGTTCATTCATAGAGAGGACACTGAGCGGTTCAGTGGGTGACATCTTCAGCGCAGCAGGCTTTGAATGATAACTGACTAAGACCTCCCTCAGGAGATGGTGAGATGGTTATGATAAGGCACATTTCAAGAAAGAGGCTCTGGGGCCAAGGCAAATGGTCTATAACCATGGTTCTTTGAAGTCTGGCTTAATCCAGGGATGACATCCAGACTGTCTAGGAAGGGCTGAGCTGCGTGCCCTTTAAGTGACCACCTGTTAGTATAATTTCACTCAGCTGGAGGTGAGTGTAAGAAGTTCCTGGTTATAGAAGAAGTTAGAATCCTTGGCATGGCCTGAAGTAGGCATTCCACACTGATGTGAAATGTGCTGTGTATACCTGCAGAATGAAAATGCCCATCTAAGACTGGCCCAAGACCTGGGCAGCCTTCCTCCATGGGAACCCGGCAAGGCAATGGGAAGTGGACATGGGAGCACCTGAACCTTCCGGAGGCTATGAAACCTCAAGGGAACAAATTATGTGGCAGAGAGGGATGATCAGTTCTTCCCATCTGAGAAAAGACTGCAGCAAAGATCAACTCTATGTTGAGGTCATTTTATCTGCTACATCGGGCATCATGCTAAAAACCATTATTTGCCTGAATTTGTACAAATGACAGTTGAAAGCAGTAAAAGTGGGACTGTTTCACGGAAGTCAGCCACACCAGTGGTTCTCAAACCTTGGTGAACCCTCAGAGCTACCCAAGGACTTGTTTGCAATGCAGAATCACAGCCCCCAGAGACTCTGACTCGTGGGGCCTGGCTGGTTCTGATTCAGTGACCGGAGAACCACATGTGTGCACTTGGGCCACACATACAGCCTGGACTGGCTTATGTCAGGCCCATCTTGGTTGTCACCATGAGGACAATATAATGTCGTTTCCAGTACTTCGTATTTCCTTCTCTTTTAGTATGAGAAGTGGCCAAGTGGTCAATAGCTTTCATTTTTGTGTAACTGAATCTTGTGCTTCATTTCCTTCTGGGCATTTTTCATTGTTGATGAAATAAACTTTGTTCAATTTGTTCCCTGGTGTCTTCCTTGAATACCCCGGGGGAAGAGAATCCTCCAGTCCTTGGGATGCTTCATTTGTTCTTTCTTCCAGTGGGATACCCAAGAGTAGACTGTGTCCACAGAAGCTGACAACCTGTTCTAGGCAAATTTTGCTCCATAAAACTCAAAACCCTCAGGTGAGCAGATGAATCTACAGTGGAGATTTGAGAAAAACGATCTAACACAAAATTCTTCTTAGTAATTCTAGTGATAATTTATCTTTTATAAGTATAGAACTAATAAGACAACTAATCTGTCTTTTCTAGAGACAGAATTTCAGTAGTTCACTTTCAGGTTAGCCTAGCATCACAGCAGCTAAGTTATCTTGGATATCCCAGGAGACAGCATTTTGCCATTGCAAGCAGAAGAGAAATAAGAGAGGAGTGTTTCCAAATACATCTGTTGTTTTATCTCTCTCTCTCAATCTCTCTCTCTTTTTTTTTTTTTTTTTTTAAGAGATGGGGTCTTGCTCTGTCACTCAGGCTGGAGTACAGTGGCACAATCAAAGCCCACTGCAGGCTGGGCGCGGTGACTCAAGCCTGTAGTCCCAGCACTTTGGGAGGCCGAGACGGGCGGATCATGAGGTCAGGAGATCGAGACCATCCTGGCTAACACGGTGAAACCCCGTCTCTATTAAAAAAAATACAAAAAACTAGTGGGGCGAGGTGGCGGGTGCCTGTAATACCAGCTACTCGGGAGGCTGAGGCAGGAGAATGGCATAAACCCAGGAGGCATAGCTTGCAGTGAGCTGAGATCCGGCCACTGCACTCCAGCCTGGGCGACCAAGCGAGACTCTGTCTCAAAAAAAAAAAAAAAAAAAAAATGCCCACTGCAGCCTTGACCTCCTGGACTGGGGTAATTTTCTCACCTCAGCCTCTTGAGTAACTGGGACTATAGGCATGCCACCATGCCCAGTCAGGTTTTTTTGTTTTTTGTGGGTTCTTTTTTTTTTTTTTAAGAGATGGGGTCTCACTATGTTGCCCAGGCTGGTCTCAAACTCAGCCTCAAGTAATCCTCCTGCCTCAGCCTCCCAAAGTGCTAAGATTACAGGCATGAGCCACCTCACCCAGCCCTGTTGTTTCCTCTGACACTTCCTTCCTTTGTTATACCGGTCAGCTTTTAAAACTTACTGCTTTGTTAAGAGAAGTAAGCTCTGTTTCATAGGCAAGGGAAAAGCAACTGGGGCTTGCTGCTGGCATTAAGAGTTTGCACATACAGCATGTTCCCAAAAAGCCTTGTGACTCAAAACGTCCCTCTGTTCTGATCACTTCCTACTTACCCTATTGGTGGGGGAGGGGCTCTGTCCCAAATAGTGGGAGAAGTACAAATGCACCCCTTCCCCCACTGGACAGATGAGATGGACAGCAGCTTATTAGTCACTAGACTCACTGCCTGGGCGAGGAGGACATAGCATGTTATGTAGGGCCACATGGGGCTTGCACTTGGGAACAGAGTGGACCTGCAGGGGCCATGACGGTCATGCCTTGTAGTAACAGGAGGACCAGGTAACCCTGTGTTCCCATGGGAGGAGTTTCCTGTCTTGCTTGAGTAATTTCACAGATGGGCAGTGAGGTGAAACCCATTCGGCTGGTGCCTGGGTGAGGGGCGGTGACTGACGGGGGACTGGTCAGGTGGGAGACCTTGCCTGCTGGGTAAGGGGCATGCCTGGTGAGGGCAGGGGAACTCACAGTTAAGCCCTTGGGCCTCTGTGACGCTCAGAGATGTCAAGGCCGCCCATAGAATTGTAGGCCTTGGAATACAGCCTCCTAGAGCCACCTCTGCCTTTCTTGTGCCTTATTCCCTGGGTTATCTAGTCCTGGGTTCAAATCTGTCTTTGAATTTTCTCAAATTCTCAATGCAGGAAGGGAGATGTAATCAGTGATGAGATATACATTGTCCATGAAGTAAAAAAAATGAAAAAGTCTTCTTGACCACCATCAGGAGCAGATCAGAAGCCTCGCCGCCTGCTCACCGAGAGCAGGCCCGCACGTCCTCTTCTCCAGCCTTCCAGGGACTTTTCCCACCGTTGCAAAACTCTTGCCGTCTGATCGGACTCATGCAAACTGATGTTTTTCACTCTTTGTATCTTTTTTTGAGTATTTCAGCTGCTATTTAATACAATGTCCTATAGCCTGTACCTTTCCATGGCCATCAAAAAGAAAACAGAAGAAAAACATTTCCTACATCAATTTACAGTTTATACATTTGTTTGTAAGGAAACCAGTTTGGGTTCGATTCCCAAGTCACTGGGGAAAGGGGTTGAAACCCAGATTCCCTTGGGATCCCTTCTGTCAGCCCAGCGTCCCCGCCCACCCCCAGCAGCAGGTGCTGGTGCTAATGGTGCACACCTGCACCCTTTTGTGGGGGCCGCCTTGGTTGACTGGAGCCAGCTGCTGAGAGTTCCTCCGCCCCCTCGCAGTTCACCCCACCGACAACCATAGCTAAGGACTGAGTTGGGGAAGAGGGAGGAAAAGCCCAGCTTGTTTCAGGGCAGGTCAAACTTGAGGCGTTTATGCTCCAGAGCTGCCCGTGGGATCAGGTGAAAGCAGGGCTTCAGGGAAAGCCACATCCTTTCCCAGCGCTTCCCTTTTCCCAGTGCTTCCTCCCTCACCCTAGTTCGTTTCTCCCGAGACCACACCCTCAACACATCCCTTATTCCAGCGCTTCATCTCTTCTGCTTCACGGAAGCTGGCCTAAGCCAGGGTTATTTCTCCGCAGCTGGAGGCGTGACATAAATTACTAGTATGTCCCCTTTTACAACCCTTTTTATTTTCCTAAAATGACAATTTTAAAGCTTTATTTTTATTATAAAAGTGATACATGCTATGGCTGGAGATTCAAATCATGTCAAAGAGTATGAAGTAAAAAGTTAAAAGATTTGAAGCCCCCATACCCAACTCCCGGTCCCCAAAAAGGTACCCAGTGTTAATTCTGTAGTATCCTTATGGAATGTCTATGTATCGTTAAGCATAAATATATGTACTTTTTACATAAATTATGTCAGACTAGGCTGGGCATGGTGGCTCACCCCTGTAACCCCAGCATTTAGGGAGGCCAAGGTGGGTGGGTCACAAGGTCAAGAGATTGAGACCATCCTGGCCAACATGGTGAAACCCTGTGTCTACTAAAAATACAAAAATTAGCCAAGCGTGATAGCGGGCACCTGTAGTCCTAGCTACTTGGGAGGCTGAGGCAGGAGAATCGCGTGAACCCGGAAGGTAGAGGTTGCAGTCAGCCAAGATCATGCCACTGCACTCCAGCCTGGGCAATAGAGTGAGACTCCATCTCAAAAAAAAAAAAAAAAGGAAAAGAAAAAAAATTATGTCAAGCTATTCATATTATTTGGCAAGCTGCATTTTGCTACTTCCTGGATCATGGATTTCTTTCCATTATCAGCGCAGAGCCTCAAACATGACTAATACATATTCATAGGACTCATTTTAAGAGGCACATCCTCTGTAACTGGCCTGGTCTGTCACTTCTGTGAACCAAAATGGGAAGAGCAGTAATGTGAAATTGTATTTTGACAAATGAACAGCTGAGAGGTCAGTGTGAGAAACCGTTTGCCATTATTCCTCCCGTCGTGTACCTAAGTAGGGCCCTGGCTGAACCGGGCTCCTGGGGAAGTTCATTGCAGGGCCTTTGGATTAGGCACATGACGCACCTGAGGGAGACTCACCTGGACGTGATGATGCATTGAGCTCCTGAGAGGAGAGAGGTTGATTAGGGTAAATGCTCTTCTCTATGTTCCCCAGGAATGTGAGAGTCAACAAAATCCCATCATCACCAACGAAACCATTAAAAAATCCCAGCACTTTGAGAGGCCAAGGCAGGTGGATCATGAGGTCAGGAGATGGAGATGATCCTGGCTAACACAGTGAAACCCTATCTCTACTAAAAATACAAAAAATTAGCTGGGCGTGGTGGTGGGTGCCTGTAGTCCCAGCTACTCGGGAGACTGAGGCAGGAGAATGGCATGAACCTGGAAGGCAGAGCTTGCAGTGAACCCAGATCGCACCACTGCACTCCAGCCTGTGCGACAGAGCAAGACTCCGTCTCCAAAAAAAAAAAAAATCAAAGCCGCCTACTTAAGGACCAAATTATCCTTCCAATATCATGTGATTGTGTGAATACCTACAGCTGAGATATATTCAGCAACAGATACAAGACGGAAGCAACACCTGAATATTGCAGAAACTATAAAATGTATTTTAAGTTACATAACAAAAATTAATAATGTACCACAATGTGGTACCATCTCATACCCATCAGGATGGATGCCATTAAATAAAAAAAGGAACAAACTCGGAAGATAACAAGTTGGTGAGAATATGGTGAGTCGGAGCCTTTGTGCAATACTGGAGGGAACATAACATGAAACAGCAGCTAATGGAAAACAGTATGACAGGTCCCCCTAGAATTAAAAATAGAATTGCCATATAACCCAGCAATTCCACTTCTGGGTAAACACACAAAAGAACTGAAATCAGGGTCTTAAAGAGGTATTTGCACACTGATGTTCATAGTAATATTATTCAAAATAGCTAAGAAATTGAAGCAATCCAAGTGTCCATCTATGGATGAATGGATAAACAAAATGTGGTGTATACACGCAATGGAACACTATGCAGCCCTGAAAAAGAGGGAAATTCTGAAACTTGCTACAACATGGATGAACCTGGAGGACATGATGCTAACTGAAATGAGCCAGCCACAAAAAGGCAAAGTGTGATTCTACTTAGATAAGGTCCCTAGAGTAGTCAAATTCATAGGGACAGAAAGTAGAATGGTGGTTACCAGGGGCTGGGGAAGGGGTCAACGAGGAGTTCTTGTTTAATGGGTGCAGAGTTTGAGTTTGGTAAGATAAAAAAGTTCTGAAGATGGATTGTTGCGTGGCAATGTAAATGTACTTAATATTGAACTATACACTTAAAAACGGTTAAAATGGTAAATTTTATGTTGTGTGTATTTTATCATAGTCAAAAATAAAAATAAGTATTCCTCAGTCCTCCCAAGCCTCCACAGTCGCTCTATATTAAATAGCTGGCCAGTGTGGGGTCATTTGGTCATTCTATGCATACGCAGGGCCATGCTGCAAACCCAGTCTCACTCATAGTGACTGCAGTGCTCAGCACCCAGCTCTGAGTGCCACAGGCTTAGCGGGTTTGGGAATGGGAGCAATGCTGGTAGAAAAACTGTGGGAATTATAAGCTACCCCGTCACACCCAAGAACAAATCAACCAACCAAAAAAGGGGAGGGGACAGTAGTGGAAATTTCTAGTCCCACAAAAGTTACTAAAAGAAGAAACAAGGAGACGCCACCATGGGACACATCCCTCACCCTTCCAGAGAAGGGGTTAAGCGTGTGGCGTCTGAACCCAGACTGTCAGGCTGGGATCCTGGCTGTGCCCCTTTCCAGATGCATGTGATCTTGGATGTGCCACTGAAACTCTCTGTGCCTTGTTTTCATTTGTAAGGAGATTAAAACAATGCTTGGCACATAGTAGGTGAAGCATAAGTATTTGTTAAAAGAAAATATTCTTTATTTCACCCTCATTACAATGCTATGAGGACTGTATAGTTATGCTCCTCTGTAGAGGGGAAACTGAGGCTCACGGAGGTAAAGTGTCTTTTCTGAAGATGCCTCAGAGCTGAACGTGGGCCTTCTGACACTCTATCCCAGTTCTCACCTTGTGTCTGCATCCCTCTCCCGCCTTTGTAGGTGGCCCTTCTCCTGAGGCCAGCGGTGGGTGTGAGGTAGTACGGAGAGCGTGGGTAAGGCGAGCTACAACCACCTCACCAAGCAGCATGCTCTTGCGCTACTCCTGCCCCAGGCACCACTAGAGAAAGCCCACGGCTTTTGCACTCAAAACAGAACCTGCTTGTCGTAAAACGGAAGCCCTGGAAGCAGGCTGCATGAGAGTTTAAGACAAACACGAGTCCCGTTTGTGGAAAATCACTTTCCCCATCAACTTGGCTATATGAAGGCTAACCACCCTGGCTTCGCTACTGCCCCACTTTGGACCCATCTCACTGCCAATGTCTGCAGTCCTTGGAGGGTGCACAGGGCTGGGGAAAGAAGGGTCTTCTCTGCGTGTTTTAAATCTAAGTAAGTGATTCATGCACATGGTACAAAACTCAATGGCACAGAAGGTTCAATGTAAGCTGGGTCTGTCTCCCGCCTCGGCTCCCCACTGCCAAAGTTCTGGCCGGAGGCCCACGCTGTGATTAGTTTCTTGTGAAAGGAAGGAAACCCCTAAATCAAATTGATTTGTTCGGTAGGAAGTTGGTTCAGATGGGCAACAGACAGCCCTGGGGCAAGCCAGTCTGTAAAGGATGATGGGCACCAAGGGACACCGGGAGGCAGCCGGAAGGACCTTTCTACATGGTGAGTGTGTCAGCTGTGGAGTGGGGAGGAGGGCAGGCTGGTGTCTACCACGTACCTCTTCCCTGGGCTGCTGCTCTCCTCTGCTAGAAGTGAATGCCAGAAAGCAGTCGCCTTGGGTTTCTGATAAGGCTTTTGTGATAGAGGCTGGGATCCCATGACCCGCCCCCCACTTCTTGTCATTAGGAAGAGCTCAGTTCCTTAATCCATGTACAGGCAGGGTCAGCACCTGTGCGTGGTCCACACTGAAAAATAAGGATCAGCATCAGAGACCTTCTTCCCCACTCTCTGCCTCATCCTCTCTTCCTTTTTGTTCCTTTCCCTTTGCTGTCATTTCCATTCCCCACCCCCAATTGCCCACTAAACATGTACAGGAATGGTGCCTGGCTTCCTATGAGTTTACAATTTATAGTTATTCATCTTATTAACTAAGTGGCTTTGCCAGGTAAAATATTAAGGTACCATTGCCATTATGACCTTGTCTTCCATGATCTCATTGGCAGCTGGTGTTGCCATGACAACTTGGCTAGAGGAACTGGTATGAGCTTCAGTGGAAGGCGATATGAACACTGGTGTGTGTGTGTGTGTGTGTGTGTGTGTGTAAGAGGATACAGACTTCTCATCATGTGTATCTGTTGTGCAGAAAGCCATGGATTTCCACACCTTCTGCTTCTCCTTCCAATGTGGTCAAAATTAGCCTCAGGGATCTAAATCAATTGGAAGGGAACTCTGGAGGATGATTTCTTTGTTTGGCTTTTTGAGTGGCAAATTGGAACCAGGAACACAGAAGAAATATTTTAGTGGCTTTCCACCTATGGGAAATGAAGCAATCCTACCCATTTTGACGTTTCTCTTAAAAGCACCCTGGGCCTAACTTACTTAACATCCGTAATTTTCTTATTAGATGTATAGAAAGTTGGAGCTAAAAGGAGCCCCGGATGTCACCTAGTCTGGCCCTTTTTTTGTTCAGATGAGAAAAAGTGAGGCCCAGCGGCTGACTTGCCCCCATTTAGTATGGTGCAGCAGGGAAGGTGTGGACTCTGGAATCGTACTACCTGGCCTCAAAGCCTGGCTCCACTGTGTATTTACTGTGACCTGAGTCAAGTCATGTAACCTCTCTCTGTTTGTTCATCTATAAAATGGGGATAATAGCAAGAGTAACCATATGGATCAGTGTGAGAATTAAGTGCTATAATCCACAATGCTTGGCACACTTTAAGCCTTCTATACATTTTATCACACGGGTCACACAGGGAATAACTGGCAGAAATTGGTTTAGAATCCAGCTCAGCTGACTCCAGTTAAACTGGAAGATTCCTCTATGAACTCCATACTGCCCTTTGTTTCTTTGTGTGTGTTACTTGGCATCCAAGTGAGAGCGGAAGCTCATTTTGAGACTGGGGTTGGCTTTTCCTAAGACCTCCTCTTTAAATGTATATAATGTATACATGAACTACCTCATGGATGCTTGATTGGAGGCTAACACTGGACACCTCATGCCCTCATTGGAACCTTTCTTGAATGTACACTGTGTGGCTGTAAGCGTAGGGGAGAAAGGAATGAGAAGAAAACTTGAGGGAAATGAACACTTCTGATCACTTCGTATGAAACTAAGCTCTTTATAATGAATGCCTTTAATCATCACAACCACCCCACGCGGTGCGCATATTCATTCCCATTTTACACATGAAAAAACCAAGACTGAGGGCGTATGCAGCATGCTCAGGTTCACCTGGCTAATGCAGAGAGCTGGGTTTCCAGCCACATTTTTACTTCAAGGGGCCGCTGACACCCTCCAAGAGACGTGGTGGTTCAAAACTATTTCTCATCCCCGCTCTGTGAGCCAAAAGCCTATTTCCTGAGGTGGTCAGAGAGATTCAGAGCAGACTGACACCTTTTCCATCACTGACACAAAGAGGAGTGTATTAAAAACAGTATGTAGCCCTGGGGATCTAAAATTTGGCTTTTTGGAGCCAAATCGGACAGGCATTGAATGTCACACGAGGCTGGGTGGTTTTACAAAACGCCACTTGTTTAAATTTCATCACTCTGTCAGGAATAACAGCAACGTAGTGGAGCCTCAGAGTCCTGTTCAGAGGGGCGAGCTGTTCTGGGGAAATTTATTTCAAAAGTTATTCTGAAGTAAAACTTGCCCACTGCGGGGTGAGGTTGGACAGTGATCCTATATCCTAGGTAATGAGGCTATGAAAGCAGCTAGTCTGTGTTCAGCTTATGTAAGTGGGACCCAGTCTCTGGGCGACTTGGGTAAACCGGTATAGAATTTAACAGGGTGACTAGCAGTGACAGCAGCAGTAAGACCCCCATTTCTAATGTGGCGTTAGGGCTGGAGATTAGATGTGGACAGGGGTGTCTGAGTCCTACATAGCGGGGCTGGAATGGGGCTGGATTACTAGTCTGAGATCTGGGTTCATGCAGCAACCACACTTTTTTACTCACACTGTTCATTTGGGCTTGGGTGGAAGGAGGCTGATGAGGATTTGGGGGAAATCAAGGGGCTCTCCCTGGCACTGCATGAAGTCGCAGAACCAGTGGCAAAAGTTCAGACTTTGGAGACAATTACTTCTCGGGTGGGAGCCCCAGCCCTGCCTCTTGCCTGCGATGTCGCCAATCTGACTGCGCTTGCTGGAGACGGGAAATGTGGCAGGGCACTGCATCCCCCAACACATGTAGGAACTTAGAGAATGCCAGTTATTACAATAACCCTTAACACCAATTCGATGCAGAAGTCTTTTAAATATCGTAAGCCTCGTCGTTTTATTCCACATGGTTTTCTAGGTAACCAAATTCTCGGAGGTGCGTCGCATCCCGGCCATGCCCAGCAGGACGGTGTTCTCTAAACGGCACTGATGCCCGATTTCAACCCCGAGGAGACTGCGGACCTCGACTGTGGCCCCCACGAGGGCCGGTCCGCCCTCACTCCACCCTCTGAGGCTGGGGCGGAGTCGACCGGCCGGCCCCGAGACCCCTCGCCTTCCTTGTGGAGCAAGGTCCCGGAAGCCGCGGCTCTTACATAACCGGGATGATGTAAGGGCGGGCGACTCCCGCGGGGCGGGACCGGGGCGGAGGCCGCGCCGGGAGCGCGGCGGGGCTCGGCGTGCGGCGCGCCCGCCATGTCCCTGTACCGCAGCGTCGTGTGGTTCACCAAGGGGCTGCGCGAGGACACCAAGTAAGGCGGCGCGGCGGGGCGCGGGCCCCGGGCTGTCACGTGGCCCGCCTCGGCGCGGGCTAGCGGGGTTGGCGGGGACGCGCCCGCGGCTCCTTCGCCGTCTCGCTGGGCCGACTAAGCGAGTCCAGAACGACTGGGGCGCCTGCCCTCTACTGGTCCGCGGCTGGGCGTGGGGCGGTCGCCAGACTCCAGCCCCTCAACGCCCGCAACCGAGACTGGCGCCCGAGGGGCGGGACTGTGGCGCGCCCAGGCCCAGGGCCGTCCCACTGACGTCAGGCGGCCCTGGAGCCAACGAGACTCCTGGGCGTCACCTCGGCGCCCTGCGGGGTGTGCTCCTGGAACTGTCTTCGTAGTGCTGCTGGCGGCGTCAGATAGGGCTGGATCTAAATCGCTAGCCCAGGCTCTGTCCTCGTACCTTTGGGTGTGTTTCCTTTAAGAAGATGCGGCACCTGGACTGCGACCTTTGGCTCCAGCTGGAACTTTCCAGCCTGGGTCTCCAGCCAGTGTGGCCGTGCACCCAGTGTGTGCTTCTGGGGAACAGTGCGTGGTGGTTTTGTCGCCCTGTGATCACGCTCAGTGTGCCCTAGTTGGCTCTCCACCTCATTGTTGTTTTAAGAGGTGACAGGTTCCTGTGACGGAGGACAGATGGAGGTTTTCTCTTGGGATTAGGCTAACCGCTGGTTCTCAACCCTGTCTGCACATCAGAATCACTGGGCGAGAATTAAAAGTACCCAGTTTTCAGGCTCCGTCCCTACAGATTCTGATTCAGTGGGTCTGCACAGGGGCCTGGACTGGCGTTTCACCCAAATCCCCAGGTGATTCTCACCTCTGAGAGGCTTCTTCCGTCACTGGGGCGTTATCAGTTCTCACGGCAACCTGGCCAGCATTCCTAGGGGAGGTAGGAGTTGCAACTCCCTTCTCTTCACCCCACATCGTTTTGGGGAAAGTTCAGCTCTGCCTCAGGAGCCCCTGCTGCAGAGAATGGTGGGGAGTGTAGCCGTGCGCCCTGTCCCACTGTTTTTAGGGGAGTACAGTGGCAGCCTCTTTCTTTCAAAGGGGTGTCCTCTGGCAATGACCATTAATTGCTGGATCTTTCCACATTACACAGCATGAAAGCTTGCGTCAGTTTCCAAGCCGGGGTGGGCCCCAAGGAAAGCAGGCTGTAAAAATCTCTCTGAGGACTCTTTCTCTCTGTTTCCCCGCCTTGAGGGAAGGTAGAAGTGAGGCCAAGGGGCCCAATTCACCACACATTGGTGGGGGAAGGGAGGGGAGGGGAAGGCGGCTGGCAAAGTTAGATGGGTTTTCCTGTTCTTGTAGATTTAGTGAATGGGACAGAAAAACAACAACCTTATTTTGACTTCAGTGTGAGAGCGCGGAGTTAGAGTTTACAGCGTTTCTCTTGGCACAAGGATTTTTATAACGCCTCCCTTTATTGGGCTCCTAGGCAGGAGGATCTAATCACTGTTTCCTCGACTTTGCTGAACCTAATAATTCCCTGGGGCAGTTTTAAACAGACTTCTAAACCCTGGGCAAGTGTGGATGGGTCCTAAGCAAATTCCATATTTGGGTAAATTGAGGGTGTGGGGAGACACAGATCCCTGCCAGCTTCCCCCTCCCCATCCCTGTCACCTCAGGTTCAGGAAACAGTAAGTACAAATGCCCTTTCAGCTTGAATCAAAATCATGGGCAAGGCACATGAAACCGCAGGTTGCCAAGCAAGCAGTTTTGAGTCAGTAGGCAGGGCATTTCCAACAGGTTTCCAGGTGATGCTGATGCAGCTTGTCTGGGGACTGCCCTTTGGCACCGAGGCTGGGTGTTGAAGAATGGAACACCCAGCCTTTGGCTTCATCACCTACCTTCTGGTGACTTTGGGAAAGTCATGTATGTGTGTGTTTGAAAAAGAGAGACTGATATCTAGAGTTTGTGAAAATAAACTGCTTCCCCAGTAAGGGGCAGAATACATAAAAGACAAGTCTTTTTAACAACAGATCAGACCAGGATGGAATTCTTGTATTAAGACAAGATCCAAGGCAGAGGACAGAGGGCGGGGACATGTCCTGCAGGCCAGGCTGATACTGCCCGCCTGGCAGTACTCCCAGGATGGAGTTTGAGGAAGAGGTTTAACCCAGAGGAGCCACGCTCAGCAAACATTCGGATCAATGTGGAGCCCAGAGGCTAATGGCCCCTCTGGCTGGGTATCACAGAGAAAAGCCTGTCAGCTTCCTGCCCCTGGAGAAGGGCTCTTCAGGCCTATTCCCTGTGGACTGCTTTTTTTCTGGCTCTATTGTATTTGCGAAGTTCTCACTCATTCCCCACAATGCCTCCTCCTAGCTAAGCCCCTATTCAATGACTCAGGCCCTTGCCCCTACCGGAAAAGTCTTTCACAGAGATTCCAGGGCTCACGTCTGTGTATGGGGGGAAGAAATCTTCCAGTTTCCTCTTTGTAGTTTAAAATGCTCTCAAAGTCCCTACTGATTTGAAGGGGGCCAAATGAGCTCAAGTTTGAACAGGGAAGGTGCTGTCATTATTAATAGTGATAGTAATCATGTCGTCTGGGCACGGTGGCTCACACTTGTAATCCCAGCACTTTGGGAAGCCGAGGCGGGTGGATCACCTGAGGTCAGGTGTTCAAGATCAGCCTGGCCAACATGGTGAAACCCTATCTCTACTAAAAAATACAAAAATCAGCTGGGCGTGGTGACAGGCGCTTATAACCCCAGCTACTCAGGAGGCTGAAGCAGGAGAATCACTTGAACCTGGGAGGCGGAGGTTGCAGTGAGACGAGATTGCGCCACTGCACTCCATCCTGGGCGACAGTGTGGGACTTAGTCTCAAACAATAACAATAATAATAATGTCAACTGCTAATTATTGAGCTCCTAATATGTTCCAAGTGCTGTCATAAGTGCCTTACACACAGCATCGCATTTAGGCCGCCCAAGAGGTATCTCATATTATTCCCTTTCTGCAGATGAGGAGATAAGAGCTCAGAAAGATTAAGTCAACACAAGTTTGCACAGCTAGTAAGAGGCTGAGCTGTGACTTAAATTCAGGTTGTTCAGTCCAAGCCCTTGTTATTGATATTTTTTAGTTTCAAGTCAACCTTTCAGGAAGGCTTTGGAAGAAGAAGGCTTGTTTGCCACTCACAGCAGAAGCAATGGGTGGGCTGTTCTCTAAGCTGCCCTGCGTGTTCTGGTGAGTTACAGATGGTGAAAACAGGAACATTTTTCTTCTCTTAAGAACATCTGGCTTGACTGAAACAAGTGGCAAAGCCTGCCCTGTGGCAATGACTTTCAAACCAAACCCAAGCTCATAAACATCCTTTGGCCACTTCCCCGAGTTCCAGAGCATGTAACTGGCAGTTGTGCTGTACCAGGGCATGGGGCAGGAGGCCAGCTGTTAGCTACCCGTTTGTAAACAGGTCCTGTGGGAGGGCTCTCAGCATGTGTGGAGCCTTGCGATCAGAGTCCTGTTCTGCATTGCAGGGGAAAAATCTCTTGACTCCATGGGTGAGAGATATAAGTAAGCTCTGAGACCCCAGCCTGCCTGTACGTGGGCAGAGTCTGCCCTCTGGGCCTCCTCCTGCCAAACCCACCATTCTGCCACCACTGCCCTCAGCCAATTTCATAGCCAGGAAATACTGGAAGGGTAAAGGTAGGGAGGTATCGCAAAAGGAATGGGAGAAAGAAACAGTTAAGGAACTCACGGTTGCATCTATCCAATATGATGCCTTTGTGCAAATCAGAAAAAATACCTCTTCTGCAATATGCTTTTCTGCCACCTGCCAGAACATTATCATAATGCAGATACAAATCTCCCATCATTCTGATCCGAATGGCACTCCCTAGAGCTGTTCAGTGCACACCCTGTGTCCCTGAAGGAGCCTTGGCTTCCTCTGATGGGTGCGGAGCTTAAATAACTCCACCGTCCTCCTTCTTTATTCCCTACTTGCAAATCTCCCGCATTTCTCCAAGTAGGCAAGGATATCTGTCCTGCAATGCAATAAGCATAATGCAGATGGTCTCTTAAACTTCCCAAAACCTGCCCCCCACAAAAGGGAAAAGAGCAATTCATCTGTGAAGGGATTTTTTTCTTTTTGACACTCCCCAGGATTGGGACAGTCAGAGTAAGACAATTTGGATGCCAAAATGTTGGAATCTCCAATATTTTCAAAAGTTCGGGAGGATCATGGTCCAGGAAATGCAGGCCCTGCGATGGTGGTGTTCATGAGAGCAGGGAGGGCGAGGGAGAAAGGAGTTTCGTGATGTGTTGGGAGAGGCAGAGACAGCAATAATGCCATCCTAGAATTAGGCTTTCTCCTTCAGGGGTTTATGTTCCCCTCTCCTTATAGCTGGTCTTCCCGTGGGTCTGCTGTTTCTGGGAGTGGCTATGAATCTGCGTCCAAAGACTTTGTCCCTCATGACTTGGAGGTCCAGGTTCCTGGAATAGTCTTTTTGGTCACTGGAGGAAACAGCGGCATTGGCAAAGCAACCGCCCTTGAAATCGCCAAGCGAGATAAGCAGCTGCTAACACGTGTGTCCACTGAGCCCCACGGCCAGACTGTGGCCGGTCCACACGGAGGAGGGTACCCTGTGTCACAGGCAGGTCAGGAAGTCCTGGACGACGATCCCGTGGTTCTGGGCACAGCTGCCAGCTTTCTGAGCTTTGAGCTAGAGGTGGCTAAAGCAACAGGAGCCCTTTCCTCAACACTTAATTAATTCACAGGAGAGCTTGGGCCCTGCCCACATGTCCCGGTGTTTTCTGATTAAGAACAGTGAGGGGCTCAAGCAAACCCTGGACGTCAGAATTCCCAGTGGAATTTAATTTAAAAAAAAACGTGGACACCTGGTCTCTAACTCATGTCTTCTCAATGAGACTCTTCTGGGGTTAGAGACGGGGAGGGGGAGCCTCGGAGTCCACCACAATTTGGATATGGATGGTAGTTATGAACCAATGCCCCCAAAATACCTGGAGAGAAGAGTGCATTGAACTGACCTTCCTCCTTGCTGGGGTCCAGCCTCCAGGGCTAGGGCAGCCTCCTGCTTCCCTCCCCTAACCTTGACTATAAAGAGGCGCTTCAGGTGCCCTGTAGAGTCTTCAGTCAGCAGAAGTCTTCCTCATGGTAAATGCCAGAATCTCCTGCATGAGCTCCATGATCCTGGGTCACCAAATGGCTCTGCAGTGGCTGGAAAAGTTTGCTGCATCTCTCCAGAGCCTCTTCTGGAAAAATGGATGTTCCAGCAGAAGATGGGGAACTAGGTTGTGAATTTATCGCTTTTTAAGATGCTGAAGATATTTTCTTTTTTCCTCTCTTTAAATCCAAGTTAGGCATTTTTCAGGGGACTGTTATATCATTTGAAGCTTTATTTAATTATCTGCCAAGTCAGAGAGAGGATTAATTGCATCTTAGCAGCTGGGAAGCACTCTGAAGTGTGGAGAGGAGGAGAGAGAAGAGGGGCTGGTGTTGTGGTTAGCCTGTAGCCTCCCATGAAACAGACCCCATTTAATCAAGTGGGTGATTTTTAGTAAAGAAAGCAGACTCCATAATGATTTTTTCTTAGCTGCCACAGCGAAGGCATTCTGCTTTAAATTGATCTTGATTGATGACGGTGTGGCATTGGCTGGGATAATATGAGGGCTGCTGATGGATTCAACATTCAGTCAATACGTGAGTCCCTACTACATGCTAGGCAAGTGGTTCTCTACTTTGACTGAACATTACATCACCAGGGGAGCTTGTAAAACTTACCCAGGCCTGGGCCCATCGCCTAGATCTTTAAAAGCTCCCTAGGTGAGTGTAAAGTGCAGCCAGGGTTAACACCTCTGGGTCAGCTACTATGCTAGATGCTAGGGAGGCAGATGTGACCCAGATCAATGTTTCTTATCCTTGATGTGTTCAGGCCCTCAAAAAATCAGGATGTTATCCCAGAGGCACTGTCAGCACAGACAGACAGGAAGGTTCCAGTACCTCCCTCACGATCGCCCTCGCTGCTCTAACTCTGGGAACCACCCATCTAGGTTTAACAGAGGAGTGTCAATTGTGAGCCCATATGTCTTCATTTTTCATTCGGAAGACCTGGTTTCTGTAGCTCTCGCTGTAACTCACAGATGGTTTCATTGAATTCCACCAGATGGCACAGTTCACCTGGTTTGTCGAGATCAAGCCCGAGCAGAAGATGCCAGGGGTGAGATCATCCGGGAGAGCGGTAACCAGGTGAGCAGCTCCTCACCCCTCCTGCTGGGTTTCCTCGCCTCCACGGTCAGCTGTGAGGAGGCTGGACTCCTGCCCACGTTCCCTGGGTTAACGATGGCCTGTGTTTGTGCTTCTGCGTTGGAAGCAGCCTCAGCCAGCAGAGAGCTGGGCCCTGCTTTTGAGTGGCTAGGTTTGACAAGAGGATAAGTGGGGCACTGAGGCTTGACCGCATGGTCCTGAGCTGCCTGTGAAACCAGCAGAGGCCAGCAGGCAGAGGCCCATTACAGTGGACAGTGATACTTCCAGGCTCCTCACCCCAGAGGGAGCCCACATCAGCGACACACAGCAAGGGTCACCGGGGTGCCATGGAGCCATGCGTTGACCCGATGTCTTCTAATAAAGAGAAGCACCAGCAGCGTTGGGTCTTGATGAGAGCTACTTTCTGACATGGGCTTTCAGAGCTGCCTCACATTTTGTGATCTTTCTCTTCTGAAAGAACTGGAACCACGATTGGCTACATAATTAGTGGGGCTCGGTGCAAAATGAAAATGCACGACCCTTGTGTAAAAGTTATTTAGAATTTCTACACAACAAAGGCAGAACATCAAACCAAGCTTGAGGCCTAGTCGCAGGGCCTGTGCAGCTGTATAGATCGTATTCCCGTGATACATCGTGCAGCCATGAGGCTGGCCCTGGATGGAAAACCCTGACCCCAGAAAGGACCCTCAGTCACCATGGCTGGTCGCTCACTGTCACTGAAGAACGCTCTCATTCCATTCCCACCTCTTCTCTAGGAGACCCCACAATTGGAGAGCCCGTAGGAGGGGAGCCAGGGAGGGACAGACGGTACCCACCCTCAGGCATGGACCCTAGCCAAAGAGAAGCATGCCCCTGTCTAGGATGGAATATTTTGCTTCAACTTTGAAATAACATTTTCACACCAAGTGTCTGTTCCTTTCCCTTTCTCGTGGAAATCCCCAGTCTCATGCCATCAGGTGCCTTACAGAGGCTTAGTGCTGGCGGCGAGTGTGAGGGTCTCTAAATCTTCCTCTAATGTCTGCAAGTGCCGCTGCGATCTGCGGGCTGCAGTTCTCGAGATTGAAAGCTGGCTGTCTGCCTGCTGATAACTTTCAGTGGTGCTGCTGCAGGATGCAACAAGAATACTAATCTCAGGCCGCGGGCAGGAGGAGGTTTGCCTGGATTCCAGCCCTCTGTGGTGTGGGCCACAGGCTTTAAAAAGTATATTTAAATGGAAAACGATGATAATATGGATCTGTTTGTAATATCCAGCCAGGCTTATATCCAATGCCACCATCTTTAGGAGGGGTAGAGAGCTGACAAGGGGAGCAAGCATGTTCCTGCGCTGGGGAGAAAGTGAGCCCTTGCCTGCTGCCCCCCTCACCTCCATACAGACACACTTGGTGGGATTTGAACGCACACACAGGACATTCACTGCTCTCTTGGGTTTATAAGTGGCCTCCAGCACTCACAGGTAGAATGTCCAGGATGAGGGTACCTGTCTGCTTATGCCAGTGTCTGGTTTCCCTGACTCAGTGTCTCCTCCAGGCTCTGCCAGGGATCAGCTGCGCCTCCCTGCTTATGAAGAGGCCCCACTCCACAGCTGCTTCTGGTCCGCCTTTGGTAGGCAACCCACACACAAAAGCATGGTATGCAGGACGGAGTTGGGCACTGATACAAGTCCTCGTTTTGCACTTTCTGGCCTGTGAGCTTGGGCAATGTTCTTAGCTTCCCTGAACCTTCACTTCCTCATTAAAAAATAGGGGTAACTTGACTTTATTCGTTTTTTAACGTGTATTTAAGGGTGAACCGTATGCCAAGCAGCATGCTGGGTGCTGGAGACATGGTGATTGGGACAGACCCAGCCCCTGACAGTCTTGTGCAGGGTACAAGTGATTAACAAGCGGTTTCTTTGAAGTGTGTGTGCCTGCCCTGGGCCTGGCCTCTGTGCTCTGTGTCACAGTGGGGGTGCGTTGGGGGACAAATAGTATGAACCCCAAGGTATGTGTTTCTTCAGTTCCTACAACCAGATAGCTTTTGGCTGGGTTTGGCCAATGGCAGGTATTAGAGGAAGGTTGGTAGGTGGAAGGAAGTGGGGAATTGAGAGATATTGGCTTCCCTGGTGATGGCTGAATCTCCTCTCTGGTTCTTCCTTCTGGTTCCTGGGCTCAGGCCACACTGCATTCTCCCTTTGTTCCTTGAGCCTAGGGCTGGTGGTAGTTTCCTGTTGTTACTAATCTCTGCGTTACTTCACCAATCGTGGTTGAGTTCTCACCTTCCTTAATCACCTGGGAAATCAATCCCTGCATTCAATTCCCTCTGTTGAAAGAGGTGTCTGTTAGATGCTACTGAAATAACATGATAAGGGCTACAAGATGGGAAGCTCAGGGTATCCTAAGAACAAACAGCTCTCAATCAATAGAAGTAGCTACTGTTATTGTTGTTGCTATTATCATTATTGTTTATACTAGGATTATTACCACTCTCAACCTTACATTCTCTGCTTCAAGTTTGTTCTGTTTAATCAGTGCTTAGGCCCTGCTTAGTGGGAGGTGGAAGCCTGCAAGCCCCCAGAAGCAGAAGAGATGTGTGGTAAAGCTGTGAGGGCACTGGAGCAGCTGGTCCTGCCTGCATGGTTGGGTGAACATCAAAGAAAGAAGGTCCCTTGGGCAGGAGGGTCGGGGTGAGGTGTGCAGCAGGGCAGCTTAGCCAGGGAGTACAGGCACCAGGTAAGACTCAGGGTCATGTGGGGATCTCAGCTGCTTGTACACGCTGGCTTGGTAATATCAGGTGTTTGGCCATATAGAGAGGTGAATATCATGCCGAAGTGATCTTTCAGAGAGGTTATGTGTGGCCTAACCTTGGGGAAAGGAGTACTGGTTACTGTAGAGCAGACTTCCGGCTCACCAGTCCACTGGACACGATACTCCCAAAGGGCCTAAGGGAGAAACAGACTGGACCTTTCTCCCCAGGCTTCTGGTTGCAGTTCAGCCCGGCCTTACTGCCTGGCTCCAGACTTTTGTCTAGCAGTTATCCCCAGGGGCAACATTCAAAACAAACAAACAAACAAAAACCCTTCTATTTTATTTATTATTTTTTGAGATAGGCTCTCACTTGGGATTTTTGAGATAGGCTCTCGCAGTTGGGATTTGTCTGATGTCTTTCTCATGATTACATTGGAGTTACGGGTTTTACAGGGAACGATCACAGAGGTACAGGTGCCTGCGCAACGTATTTCAGTCCTGCAGGCTTCCTGATGTGGCTGGAAGGTTCTGTGAAAGCACTTATGTCTTGTGGGGGATTAACTCCACCAACGTCACACGCCACGATAAAAAACGGGTTTCTACTCCAGCTCTTCCAGGCCAATGTGATTTTTAGCTTCTTGAGAATGGTTGGTTTAGCTTCCCAAGATCTCCGTGGTTTTACGAAATACCGCCTCATTTCTCCAGAATGATTTCTACTTAACAAAGCACCTCCATGCACTGTTTACCGTGCTCATTGCGGGAACTGCTCTGATTGGGGGATCAGTCCCCATGATGTCACCTCATGAGTCCTGGGCCACACAGCCGCTATAGATGGTGGCTCATCTGCAGAAAGGGTCCCAGCTTTGTTTTGTTTTGTTCAGTTTCAGTAACCATGCTTTGTCACAGTGGGGACCAGTGGCTGCTAAGGTGAGCCTTCTCGTTGTGTGGCTCTGCAGATTGGGACTTTTACACACATGCACCTGTTTCCAGTTCCTTCTCCTGGCCACAACAGACTGCTGGCCTTTCCTTCTGGGTGCTTTGTGGCCTCCTGTTTTGCCTCAGAGGGACACAGATGATTTCCTTCCTCTTTTCATAGTGCTTCATGTCACCAGCCCCGTGGCTGATCTGTCTAGGACAGTGATTCTCTCTTCCCTGCTGCTACCTCCTTTTCACTCTGAGACATCTCAAGCACTTCCAGGAAGCTCAGAGAACTTGTGGAATGTTTCAAGCAGAATTGGTTTTAGTTCACTTGAGTTTTGTTGCTGTTTTAACCTGGAGTTTGTGTATATGTTAACACATCGCTTTCTGGTAGGAGGGAGTTTTAGGGTGGTTGCAGACAAGGCCTCAAAATGGAAGGATTAGGTGTCTAGACTCAGTTTGCAGTCGTTGGTACAGGCTCCCGGCTGACTCAGACATGACTCAGCAGCCTTGTACGCTCTGGCTGGGTGAGGGCCTTCACAGGCATTTTCAAAGAGAATAGCTCTGTACAGACAACGTTTTTCCTATCCTTTGAAGGCAGAGGAATATCCAGTTGGGCCAGGCTTAAGCTGAATGTGGTGTTCAACCTGACTCGACTTTCTGAGTCATGAAAATGTGGAGTTGCTTCTGTCTCGTTTGTCTCAGGTGAAAAAACAATATGTTTTAAGATGAGTAGAAAGAAATTCTGACTACAGCTTTGGGGTTTATAGCTCAATTAATGGGGAAACTCAGGCAGGGCACGGAACTTCCCTGCTTTGTCAAAGGAGTTGTGGCTCTTGCTCCGATCGTCGTCTGCAGGTTCAGTGCTTACATGCCTGCAGCAGCAGGAATTTCTGCCTTGGGTTAGTGATAGGTCACATATGTCCACTGATGCTCAGAGAGGGCACCGTTGCGTTCACTGGATGCCAAGAATGCAAATTTGGACTTAGGTACTGGGTACAGAGAAAAAGGTTTAGACAGCCAAGGTCCGTTATTGAACTACCATGCCCGTGACTGTGTAATACCATAAGGAGAAAGGGCGCATTAGACAGTGTCCCTTGCTCACGGAGTTCTAAGTCTCCTGGGGAGGTGGCTGTGTCCAGTGATAACCATGATACAAGGCAGAGATGGAAAAGTGTCATGACCAAGGACTAAGGGTCACAGCAGAACTTACCATCTTATTTATGATGTGCCTAAGATACTGTCTTAAGAGCAAAATTTTGACAAAAAAAAAAAAAAAGATCAGCGGCAGGGAACTCTGACATATCCATGCAAAGGTATGTTATGTAGTCATTAAAAGGAATAGGGTGGAGTCATATATAACAAAATCATCTCCAAGACCTCTTGCAAGTCCTACAGCTCAGTAGCAAAACAAACAAACAACGACGTAACTTAATCCGATTTGAAAATGGTGTAAGGACTTGAATAGACATTTCTCCAAAGAAGATATACAAATGGTCAACACAAGCTGACCACGGTGGCTCATGCCTGTAATCCCAGAACTTTGGGAGGCCAAAGCAGGCAGCTCACTTGAGGTCAGGAGCTCAAGACCACCCTGGCCAACGTGGTGAAACACTGTCTCTCCTAAAAATATAAAAATTAGCTGGGCATGGTGGCATGCACCTCTAGTCCCACCTACTTGGGAGGCTGAGGCAGGAGAATCGCTTGAACCTGGGAGGCGGAGGTTGCAGTGAGCCAAAATTGCACCACTGTACTCCAGCCTGGGTGACAGAGCGCATTGGCACTCTTTTTCTCAAGAAAAAAAAAAAATGGCCAATATATATATGAAAAAATACTTTTAATGTCAGTAGTCATCAGGGACATGCAAATCAAAACCAGAGTGAAATATCACCTTACACCTCTCAGGATGGCTATTGTTAAAAAAACAAAAGACAAAAAATGTTTGTTAGGTTGTGGAGAAATTGGAACCTTTGCACACCATTTGTGGGAATGCAAAATGGTGGAGCCACTATGGAAAACAGTATGGAGGTTCCTCAAAGAAAATTCAAAACAGAGCTACCGTCTGACCCAGCAATTGCACTTCTGGGTACTAATCTAAGGGAATTGAAATCAGGATCCTGAAGAGCCATTAGCACTGCCATATTCATTGCAGCATTATTCAAAATAGCCAAGATGTGGAAACAGCTTAAATGTCCATCGACAGATGAATGGACAAAGAAAATGTGGTCCATACATACACACATTGGAATATCATTCAGCCTTAAAAGAGAAGAAATCCTGCAATGACATGGATGAACCTGGAGGACCTAACCTAAGTTCAATAAACCAGGCACAGAAAGACAGAGACTGTACAATTTCACTTATGTGAGGTATCCATAGTACTCACAATTCATAGAACCAAAGGGTGGAATGGTGGTTGCCAGGGACTGGGGAAAGGAGAAGTGTGGAGTTACTATCAAAGGGTACAAAGTTGCAGTTAGGCAAGGTGAATAAACTCCAGAGGTGCACTGTACAGCATTGTACCTAGTCGGCATGCTGGAAATTTTGTTAAGAGGCTAGATCTCATATTAAGTATTCTTATCACAATAAATAAGTAAAAATTGTTTTTACCACCAAAAACTAAAATACATATTGTTAAGTGCAAAAGATGGATGTAGAACAATGCATAGTCTGATCCTATTTGTGTGGAATATATATATATATATATCTTAAAATATATATAGTATATATAGTATATGCTTAAAATATTTCTGGATGATTCACAAAAAACTGTGAACAATGGTTTATTTTTGAGGAGTGGGACTAGTATTTTCCGTTTTATATCATTTCAAAGTATTTGCTTTTAAAAAATCATGTACTTTTAAAAAATTAAAAGTGCTAGTTTATATCTTTTTAAAAAGGGTTTATTTATTTATTTATTTTGCTTTCTAATTTAGAACATTTTTCTGCACATTGTGGACTTGTCTGATCCCAAGAAAATCTGGAAATTTGTTGAAAATTTCAAGCAGGAACATAAACTCCATGTTCTAGTGAGCTTTGTAAACATAAGTGGAGAATAAAGTCATGTTGGCCATTGTTTCCGTCTGTGGATGTGGACGGATATGTATGTTTGCGTGTCTTTATGGAATAATCTTAGTAAGACTCTTTTATGCTTGGGCCTGTTCATGGAATCAACTTTACTCATTGGATTTAAGAGGAGACCCGTGTGGTTAGATTAGTGGGGAAAGGTAGGGGCCATCCACTGGGTAGGTATTGTGGGAGGACAGACATGTTCCATGTTTTATAAAATGATGATTTGTATATAAATATTTCTCAGTTCTGTAGATTTGGGGATTGGTGTATTGAAATTAGAAGCTCTTTTCATCCAAAAGAATACCTCCTACAGACAAGCAAATCTTTTAGTAACATAATTAGCACAAAACTCCACAGAGAGCCTGGGTGGACTCAGATAGAAAGAGTCCCAGTATGCTCTTCCCAGATATTCCACTTTGAGCTAAGTTGCTTTTCTATCCAAAGACTTTCTGATGTGCTCTAAAATGTTGTTCCAGAGTCTGGAATTGTGCTATCCAGTATGGCTGTGAAGCATTTGAAATGTAGCTAGTCCAAACTGAGATGTGCTGTAAGTGTATAAATTAGCAGGTTTCAAAGCCTTAAAAAAATTATGTATGCCATCTCATTAATATTCTATATTGATTGCATGTTAAAATGATGCTACTTTGGATACATTTGGTTTAAAATCTTATTAAATTAATTTTACCAGTTTCTTGTTACCTTTTCAGTGTGGCTACTAGAAATCTTAAGATTAGATATTTCTGTTGGACGGTTCTGAACTAGATGAATTTCCAGAGCACTCTCTCATGAATTAGGTTGCCTGGCCCAGCTGTCTCACTTGGCGATCTTTGCACAGTTCTGTGGCTGAGTCCTCTGCACAAGTGGTATTTTCCTGCAAGGGCTTTGGAGTGCAGAATCAGTTGAGCAAATTGTCAGTGTCACTTGAAAGTTGAGAAGGAGCTGGGGCTGGGGTAGTGGAGGTGTGGGGATGGAAGTAGGTCTTTTGGCCCTGTTTTTCTTTATTTTGAAATGGGAACTATAATTTTTAGATCAATAATGCAGGTTGCATGGTCAATAAAAGAGAGCTCACAGAAGATGGACTTGAAAAAAACTTGCTACCAATACTCTGGGTAAGTACAAGAAGTTTTCTTATTTGGTTTTAGCAAAATAAACATAGAATGTACCATAAAAGGATAAAAAAAAATTGACCAACTTTTTGGGTTTTTGGTCCTGGGCTGATGACATTTGCTTTAAGTTTATCCTGAATTGTACTTATTTTTCTTCATAAAACACTTTCTGTTTTCATGTTTCTTATAATAGGTTTTGGTGCCAGAAATACTTAGTATTGAAGTGTTTTTTTCCTAGGAAGCTCTAGGCTCTTTATAGACATTATTTTGAAGAGGAGAGCAAGTTCACCTTAAGTGTTGAGTGCAAATCTAAAAACTGCAGCCAAGGGAACTTCCAGCTAGGGCTGAGGAAGGTGCAACCAATGGGCAAGAAGATGGACCGAGAAGGGCATTGGCTAGAGCACAGGATACCTGGACTCTGGCTGCTGCTCTGTAATAGCAGAGTGAAGTCATTTTATATCAGGCCAGTGGCTCTCAAAGTGGGGTTCCCAGACCAGCAGCCTCAGCATCACCTGGGAACTTGATAGACATGCACATTCTTAGATTCCTCACCCAGATCTACAGAATCTGAAACTCTGGAATGAGGCCAAGAGTGAAATCCATTTTGACACGCCTTCTGGATGATTCTGGTGCACACTAGAGATTGACAACTAATGTACCATGCTTTTAGTCTCCTTGGAGTTTCTCCTTCTCGAGCCAAGGGGCCTTTCAATTTTGAGATGCAATGAATCTAACACTCTTCCCTGGACCTATCCTACTTCCTTGTAATGAGGGGGATGTTTTAATTAAGTATTGTTCTAGGTCACAAGATGGATGGCAGGGTTTGGGTGGTTGTTGGAGTCATTGAGTGTGTCCAATATATAGCAACCCTATTCCAAACCAAGAACTGAACAGATTGAGTCAGCCGATGGAATAACAGTTGAAAGCCAACATATCACTATTGTTACTGATAAGGCTGGTCGAAAGGCATGGCTCACTGCAAGAGCCAAATGGGTTTCCTCATCTGGAACCCAAGAATTAGAAGGATTCACCTACCTAGTCACCTGGAACTTCCCTTCTCTTCTTCCCCAGAAAGGGGAGAAAGGGAGGAGCAGAACTGAGCAAGCCCCGCTCATTGTCCCCAAATTTACTAAATTTACTGTTTTTTTTTTAGACAGGATCTTGCTCTGTTGCCCTGGCTAGAGTGCAGTGATGTGATCATGGCTCATTGCAACCTTGAACTCATGGGCTCAAGCAATCCTCCCAGCTCAGCCTCCCAAGTAGCTAGGACTACAGGCATGTACCACCATGCCTTACTAATTTTTTAATTAAAAATTTTTTGTTGTTGTTGAGGTGGGGGTCTCACTATGTTGCCCAGGCTGGTCTCAAACTCCTGGCCTCTAGTGATCCTCCTGCCTCAGCCTCCCAACGTGTTGGGATTGCAGGTGTGAGTCACTGCACCCAGCCTAAATTTACTGTTGAGACGTGCTCCATCTCCCTGGCAGATGGAAGAAGGTCCAAGAGAGAAAGAACTCACCCTAATTGCACTCTCTTCTCAAGGAAAGAAAGGCTAGGAGTGGTAAGATGCCTTCTCCCCAGTGATGAGGTTGCATTTTTCAAAACAAATACCTGGAAGCTTGTGTGAAATGGCACAGGTTTAGTACAAAATATTTTCATCACTGACTTTGTTCCAAATGTGGTATCCTTGCTGCCATTACCAAAAGTACCAAAATGTGGAGTCATGCTAGAGTTTGGCTCATAACTCAATGGGACCGCTGAGACTCCCAGAGTGTCACGGCTGGCCCCCGAGTCACTGTTCCGCAGCACTGGTTACATAATTTGCAGAGTCCAGCGCCAAATGGAAGTGCGAGGCTCCACATTCAAAAATTATTAAGGATTTCAATGCAGCGACCACAGAGCATTAAACCAGATGCAGGGTCCTTCCAAGTACTGGGCTTTGTGCGACCTCACAGGATGAAGCCAGCTCTTTTGCTCATCCATCCACCCACCATCTGACAAAATTCTGCTAAGTGCTCACTGTGGCCTGGCCATGAGTGAGAGTTGCATATATATATAAAATTTAGTGCTATGATGGAGGTATTCCTGCATCACAGATGAAGAAACTGAGGCTGAGAGAGATTGTTTCACTTGCCTCAGGTCAAGTGGAGGAGCCACAATGTGAACCTCGGTCTGACTTCCTCCACGACCCATGTTCATTACCAGTGCACAGTTCCACCCATGCCGGCATGTCCTCCCTCACCCCCTCACCGTGTTATCACAAATAAGTGCTAAGAAGTACTGGGAGGGGGTGACCAGCTATGCCAGGGGAGGCTGGGCTGGGGTTGGGGGCACCTCTCAGAGAAGTCCGAAGGTTTTGGAAGATGAAAAGGAGGGTAATCTGGGGACCTTGGCCTTGCTTGGGAATGTGGACAGGCTTGAGAGACTCTAAAGGGACTATTTGATTATGCAGCTGGTTATGTTGCACCTTTGTAAGGATCCAGCCTGCTTCTAAAGACCTTGCTATCTCTGAATTTTCATTTCCTGTTTGTGTTAGAAGCATCTTATTGATCATTCCAACCTCTCTGAGAAGCGTAATAATTCTCGGGCTTTGATATTTACTCATCCTCTCTCCAGTGAAAGAAATGGTACAATAGACGAAGGGGCTGTGCCAGCACAGAGGGGCGGCTCCGTGGGTCTTTGCTTGAGAGAGAAGGAGACACAGAGAGGTTCAAGTGCTGTCGTTCCTCAGCAGGAGCAGGCCAGACAAAAATCCTGGACCCCTGTCTGAGTCCTGGGAAATTGCTGGCTGCCTTTCTAATAGGAAACATGTTTTCCTGGCCTGATTATGTAATGTGGGATAGGTTGTTTTCTATTTTCTAAGATTCATATGAGCCGTCAGAAACATTTGCAGTCTCCAGCCAAACACCAGTAGGTTCCTGATACTGTGAGGAGAGCGTAAACCTCCGCATTCGCAGGATTTATCACCGGATCCTAAGGGTCTTGAAGCTGGTCGAATAGTTAAATGCAAAATGCCTTCAGCGTCCACGCCTGCACACGGCTTTGTTGAGACATCACAGTGTATGAATTAGATAGTTTGGAAAGAATAATTCTGAACCTTTTGCGGAGGCGGGTGGGGCCTGGAGAGATTTTCATAGTTTATTTTACTGAGGGACAAAGGCGAGCTGCCCTGGGTCGGCTGATGCGCAGTTGAGCCATGGAGGGGAAGACGGTGCAGGAGACGGCTTCTGTTGGGTGGCTGTTCTCACCCCTTTGTTTCGGGTCTCCTCCAGTCACATACGTTTTGCCTGTTAGCATTCAGTGGCATTAAGAGTCCATGAGGAGTGAAGACAGATGGGAGGGGGAGGGCGGGGAGGCCGAGCTAAGTGCCCTGCTGGCAGCCTGCCACAGCCTAGCGTTAGCAGATTAAAACTCTCACCCGCATCTTAGCCTCTCTCACCACAGGACACAAGACGAGGACACTGATTCTGTCTCCACCAGGACAGCTGCGTCACCAGTTAATTGACTGTGATAAACAGGCAGTGGTGCCTTAGCTCTTTGGCAGGAGGCGAGGAAGTTCGCCTGAGGTCACTTTGGAAGGACGTACGTCGGGAGACAGAGAGTGTTTTTGCTTGACGTTCTGTTAACGTGGCACCCTCCTCAGGCACATCCCAGTACCTAGTGAGAGCTGCTGTTCGACACAGGGACCCCAGGTCCAGAGACGCCTTCATAGCAATAGCACATACTGAGCACAGTCCCCGTGCTGCAGCCTGCACTGAAGGCTTTTCTTGGATTCTCTCATTCAGTCTCATAACCATGTTACAGATTTTACAAATGAGGAAACTGAGGCTCAGAGGTAGTCTAAAACCAGTCTGTGACTCACTTCCTAAACAAAGGACAACAAAATTATGGTGGGGGCATTTTTTTAGCGTAGGGTTGTATGGTCAGCTATTGCTATGAAACAACTCCAAAATCTCAGGGTGTACAATGATAAGCATGCATTTTTGCTGACTTTCTGCAGATCTGTGGGGCGGGCTGATCTCAGCTGGGCTCAGCTGTGTGTCTCCAAGCTGCAGGTTTGGTATGGAGTATGTGCCAAATATCTTGCATCCTCCTTGGACCAAGGCATATTCTGGCCAAGGTATATTCTCAGGGCAATGGCAGAGGCCCAGGTGTGCGAGCAATTCCAAGCCTCTGCTTGCATCCAAGCCCCTTTGATTAACTGGATATGATATCCAGTTAACCAATCCAGAAATCAGCAGATAATCCAGTTAATCAAAGCAACTCATTTCAGAGAGCTCCAAATCAAGCATCAGAGAAGTATACTTCTCCCACAGAGGTGGCGAGCAGAGAATGAATATTGAACAATAATTTGCCACAAGGGTTTTTTTTTTTTTTTTACATTCTAATTCTTTGAAAATGGGTCACCTGAGTTTAATACGATAACTACTTACTAATCAAAATACCTAATGAATAAAGGCACCTTATTTGTTCCATAAACTTTTTTTTTTCTTTGAGATGGAGTCTCGCTCTGTCACCCAGGCTGGAGTGTAGTGGTATGATCTGAGCTCACTGCAACCTCCATCTCTTGGGGTCAAGCAATTCTCCCGCCTCAGCCTCCTGAGTAGCTGGGATTACAGGTGCATGCCACCACACCCATCTAATTTTTTTATTTTTAGTAGAGATGGGGTTTCACTATTTTGGTCAGGCTGGTCGTCGAACTCCTGACTTCAGGTGATCCACCTGCCTCCCAAATTGCTGGGATTACAGGCATGAGCCACCGCGCCTGGCTTGTTACGTAAACATTTATAAAGGGCCCATTTTATGCCAGATGCTGTGGCCAGTTATGGGGATTGAGAAATGGAAGGGACTGCTGGCCTAGTGGGGGAATTAGACACATACACAATTTCAGTAATCGTGTGGTAAAGCTCTCTTTTCATCCATGAAGGGAGATTGGTACGGAGACTCAGAGGAAAACAGAACAGTGCTTCCAAGGCAGAATGCCTCCTTAGACAGGACATGCGTTT